TGAATAAAGCCTAATAGAGATATATTATAAAATAATTAGAAGGAAAAGATCATTTTATATTTTCAACCTTATAGTAAAAGGTATTGACTGTAGTACTAATTTAGCCACTGCTATGATTTTAGATGAAAGATTAAATTATGTTAGTTTATATACTATAAAACAGCATTAATTGTATGTAATATTTTTGCCTATAGACCTATTTTAATATATTCACAATTTTTATTCTCTCTAGTTTTAAAATGATTAATTCAACACCAGACGAGTATGATAATCTTTTATATTATCTCAGCCCCCATTGCATTTTAACCTAAGGATTTAACCAGGAATCTAAATAAAATATACACATTTCAATCTGCAACAACCTTCTAGTCTAATTCATGTAAGGTGTGTTTTACAGCATAGTCATCTAAATCAGTGTTTTTCAACCTTTTTTGGGCAAAGGCACACTTGTTTCATGAAAAAAATCACGAGGCACACCACCATTAGAAAATGTTAAAAAATTTAACTCTGTGCCTATATTGACTATATATAAAGTAATTCTCTTGAATAGGAATCAAATAAACACAAAGAAAGTATTTTATAATTACTTTATTATGAAATATTAAGTAAACAAAATAGTGAAAAATTATAAAATTCTTGTCTTGTCTGCACCTACGGCACACCAGGCAACACCTTGTGGCACACTAGTGTGCTGCGGAACAGCGGTTGAAAAACGCTGATCTAAATGATCTTCATTTCAAGCATGTAACTTTTGTTCTATCTCTCTCTCCTTGAGCCATCTAACTGAAGACTCAAGAAAGAACAACTAGCCATCATCTCTCTATTTGGCATCAAAATCAGTATAACACATGATGCAATCACTTCTTAGATGATTTATCTCTAATTTTCTTAGAAATGTTTTTAAAGATCTTTGGGAATTTTTATCACTTCTTTTATTCTGTTATTTCAAATATTTACATATTTATTGCATCATTTCTTTTAGTATATCTTAAAAATATACTAAAAATATACTTTATAACATCAGAGCCCAACTGTTATAATCTACTCACTCTTAGATTTTAATAGCATTAATCCTTCTGCATCACTCTCAATGTTTTATATAGTCTGTTTTGTTTTACCTACTATTTATTTTTCTACTGTACTTTATAATATCTGCCGCTTGGACTTCATAACACAAAAATTTTATTATTTTGTGGAAAGTGGGCCATATAACAAATATATCAGTTCTTGCACAGAAAGCAAAATATTTTTCAGAAAATTTTCAAAGTTATAAAAAAGGCAATACAAATAATTAGCATGTTTAGTAAATAAGAATAAAGTATAATTGTGTGTGTTGATATAAAAAAATATCCAAGAAACAGTTTAAGTGAAAAAATCAAGCTATAAAACAAAATATATCATGTTTTTATCTGTATATAAAAATAACATGTATGTATATGTAATATGAAGACATTTATTCATGTGTATATAAAGAAAATTTTCTGGAATCCTTTATAAAATCTGTTATCTACCATTAAATCTAACTCTTGGTAAAGAGAAGAGGCTGGGCAAGTAAGACTTCAGCTTTCATTTTATTCTCATCTGTTCCATATTTTTTAAACTTTCCAACCAATCTTTTGCAAAAAAAAAAAAAAAAATTTATTTAGCCAAAACCATAAAATCTTTATAAACTTAAATCCAAAAATTATACTTCTTGCTACCTACCCTAAGAAAATAATTAAAAATTAAAAATTTGAAATTACCATAAGTAGTAGTATTCTAGAATTCTATTAATAGTAATGAAAATAGAAAAAAGTATAAATATCTAACAATAAAGAAATGATTAAATTATGAGAAAACCTTATTACAGGATGTAATAAGCAGCAGACTTTAATCATATTCGGAAAGATTACATAAAAACATAAAAATTCTTAGGATATAAAGTTAAGAATAAAAATATATACATTTTATAAAAATACTAGAAGCCTGGTGCACAAAATGTATGCATGGATAGGATCCCTAGGCCTGGCTGGTGATCAGGGTTGATCTGTGAAGCAATTGGCAGAGTGACTGGGGGGCCCCCCCACTGGCACCCATGGTGGCTGGCCTGGAGCCTGCTGGCTGGGAGAAGCTCCTGCATTGAGCATGTCCCCCTGGTGGTCAGTGTGCATCACAGTGACTGGTTGTTCTGCCCGTCATTCTGCCATTCGGTTGATTGAATATTAAAATTTTATTATATAGGATGACAACATAACTTTGTAACCCTAAGTTTAGAAATAAAAAGCCTGACCAAATGTTAAAAGTGAGTATTTGTGTGATAAGTTTGTGGGTAATTTTTTAAAAAACTATCTTTCCTTATTTTCTAAATGTTATGAAACTACCTTTCCCTATTTTTTAAGTGTTTCTGAGATGTTCATGAAAAATAGATACTGATAAAGGGACTTAGTACATAAATTAGAGTTTAAGAAAGATAGTCACAAAACTTACAATCTAGTCTGAACCTTAACAAAAAGATAGTAAAATGTTTTAAATTATAGATGTTATCTAGTCAAGAACACAGAGTTCCCATCACATTTGAGAAAAATAATAAGTGTACACATGTACACTTCACAAATCCAGAAAAAAGGAAACCTGCTCTCTTCCACGTGACATAATCCTGTCAGTATTTCTGCTATTCGATCCATTGCCAAAATACAGCCAACAGGTGTGCCTCTTACTTTACAGGAAAAATGTCTACTTTTATCAATCCAGGTAAACTATCTAGTTCACTGAAGTTAACTAAAGTAAAAATAATAATGTCAATGTTACTACTTGAATTGTATTATCTCTATATTTTTTGATCAGCAGCTTGTCAAACTGTACACATTTCCTAGATTCTATATTATACATACCTGAACTGAACAATGAAATCCAAGATCAAAGATTTGAATTATTTTATAAAAGAGTTTTAAATATCTATAATAATAAAAGCATAATATGCTAATTAGACTGGACAGCTGAACGACTGTCCAGAAGAAGCCAGGGCTGTGAAGGCCAAGCCCCTTGCATGAATTTTGTACATCAGGACTCTAGTATTTTAATAAGACTCCTAGCTCATATATGGCAAAATCCTCTTGACAATGTTGGAGATACCTATGTTATAATCATAGGGCAGAGGTTGGCAAACTTTTCCTGTAAAAATCCAGAGAGTGAATTCTTAGCGCTTTGTAGGCCACAGGGTCTCTGTTGCAACGATTTCACTTTGCCCTTGTAGTGCAACAGCTGCCATGGAGAATATGCAAATGAATGAGCATGGCTCTTTTCCAATAAAACGTATTTTGTAAAACTGACATTTAAATTTAATATAATTTTCACATTACAACGTATTTTTCTTCTTTTGAATTTTTCCCAACCATTAAAAAAAAAAAAAAAAAAAAAAAAAAAAAAAAAAGCTCAGGGGTAATGCAAAAAGAAAGGTACTAGGCCAGATTTGGCTCATGGGCTGAAGGTTGCAAACTGTTCATTCTAGAGTTTATTTTTTTAACCTCCTCAAAGGTTCTATCTTTTGCTGTATCCCACTGTCTTGGATGCTTTTATCCTCCTGTAGTTCACCTTCAAAATCATATTTAACCTTTAAATCCTTCCTCAACAGGTCTTCCACGAAAACTTAGAAGGTGTCTTTAACCGAATGGGACTTCTCTTCCTTTGAAATCCCATAGCATTTGTGCCTTCTCTGGTTTTACCTATGGCTACTGAACTTTGTCCCGTTACTGGTGTGCCAAGCCTTCCTTTCAACATTTTCTGGGAGGCATCCTCTCTTACACATTTCTTACTGACCATAGTGCCCTGTACGTAGCAGAAGGTCAGTAATAACGGTTGAAGTGAAAAATGACCTTGTCAATTCCTAGATGTAGGCCACCATGGTTTAATAACAGCTTTTAAGGTTCTAAAAGAAATATGCACACAAAAAGCATGTATAACTTTTAAGACACAGATGGGGTTTTAGTAATATTTAAATGTGAAAACAAATTTTATCTTGGAATCAAGTAGAATGCCTGCCAGGTTGGCCAAGGAGAGAGATGAGCGAGAGCAGGGAAAGGATGGAGATGCGAGTTACAGGGCACAGGGTGCAGCTACAGGAGAGCATGATGTCTGGCAGGCAGAATCAGACTGTTCACGGAACATAACCCAGTTTTTTCACTGTCCTTCAAAGCAGATCTTTCATGTGCCTAAGGTACCCGGACCTGGTTATTCTGGGACACTTCCCCTCTTCCCTGTCAAATGGACTGTCCTACTCACCCAGGAACTCCTTGGGCCAGGAAGTTACTAAGCTTCACAGAAGCACTCAAAGTGAGGTTTGGAGATTTCTATAAAATTTTTGTATTTTTATCTAAATCTAAATATGTTTATTGCACAGGTACAATAGGACATTTTTTTGAAACTGCAACAGCTCTGCTTAAATTAAAATGCTAGGAATGTTTATTCACTGTACAATCCTTACAAACTTACTTCCTCTAGCTACAATTTTGTCATCTGTAAAAAAATAAAAAAAATGATAATGTGACCTAACTTATGGCAACTGAGTTGTTGTGAGGATTAGATGAGTTAATATATGTAAGTGCTTAGAACTGATACATAGTAAGCACCTATCATTGTTAGCTATGGACGTCTATGAGTCCATATATAGCTAAAGACACATAGCATTGCTGGCATTAACCTCTAAAAAGCCACACACACCCTTGTCTTCAAGACACCTGCTGGGTTTTATTTGATTATTGAGACAGAATTACTATAGGAAGACATTTACAGAAAATAGGAAACAGGCCATATAAGACTTATCAAGTTATTTTTTAAATGCAATAGAAGGAAAACAGCAAGCTGAAAATACATGTATGATTATGTGACAAAGAGAGAAATAGAACACAGTTGAATCCCTCTGGCATTATCACAGTAGTATTTCCCAAGCGTTGGCAGAATGCAGTGACCAAAATCAACTTCCATGCATGGGGACAATGGTAGGCCAACTCAATGGCCATACTTACCACCTTTCTCCACCCTATCGAGACCTGCCTTTTTGTCCTTCCCCTTAGCAGTGCTTCCTTTCCAAAGCTTATTCCTGTAATTTTCCTTTTCTTCCTTGGAAACATGTTCCCGGGACTTCTCAGATAAGCCATCTGCAATCATTTGGGTTCCATTCTCTGTTTCTTCAAGAACATTCTCCAAGCTTTCCTCTCTTGGCAGAGGCTTGATCCCCACATCTGCTTTTATGATTTTTTGACCTTCAATTTCTAAGGAATCCTCAATGAGAAGGTGTGATTTTCCTGGCTCATCATTTTCACTCAACTCCTGAGAAGATGAACTTCTGTCACTTTCATCTGCACTATCATCAGCGTGCATTTCCCCGTCCTCCAGTATAGATTCGTCTTCACTGCTGCTAGAGTAGGGGTGACTTCTGCATGAGGAGGACGATGCAGTTTTTATATCTACAAATAATTAAAATGGTGTGGTGTCATTGTTTTTATAAAGCAACTGGTTTAACTGTGATAATTATGTTAATAACTAATCTAAGATTAGGTAATATAGTTTAGTAGATTTGATCCCCTTTCCCTATATGTTCTGCATAGTTGTCATGATTAAAAAAAACAAACACCTATGTAATCTATGAATCTATAGAAGTTTTCAATAGGAAATCACATTTAACTAAAAATTAACTGTATTTTGAGAGTGTCACGTTATTGGAAAACCTTTGTAAGTATATTTTGTTATAGAAGAAACACGGTAAATTTTTTAGATGATGCCCGTGTGTATGTGTGTACTATTATAGTATGTAGAAGAAGGTGTATTATTTCAGGTTCCTCAGAAGCAAATGCTAAGATGAGGATTCATGGATAAGTGATATATCAAGGATATAAATGCTCCAGGAAAAGCTCTTACAGGTGTGAGGGAACAGGAAAGGGAATGGAAGAAGTCAATCAAAGGAGCTATTTCAAGAAACATTTAAACAGTCTTATCTCACAGGGACTTCTGGAGTCTAAATTATATTAGCATTTTCCCTCCCTCAAAGGAGGAGCTGGCTTGAATACTCTGGTCTAGTTCACTCTAAGGGTGTGTAAGTTCCATGGCTCTCCTAGGTTCTTTGCCTCAAGATGAAATTGAGTTGCCCATGGCTATCTTCTGAAAAGGGCAGAGGGTGAGAAGCTGGGAATAGGCACACTGAATCTTTAAGAGAGATTCTAGGAGATCCAGGCAGTACATTTATGTGTTATTACATATATGCAATATAAAGACTTACCACAGCCAAACAATAGGTTAGCAATTACTACCCAAAAAAACTTTTTAAAAAATCTCCAGGAAAGTGACATACACACTGAATCTTAGCCAGGATGATGCACAGCCTAACCTACAAGTCATGGCAATTGCTGCTGAGGACCAGAGAAGTACAAACTTGTTTTTAACTTTTTAACCAACATATGTGTTTATAATTGTTTTTAATAGAATATATTTTCAAATGTTGTATCCTACACTTGCATGTTGCCCAGTTTTCTTATTTTCTCTTTTCTGTGTGCTCCTGGCTCTTTTTTTTTTTTTTTTTTTTTTTTTTTTTGTTTGGCAGCTGCACAGATGGCTGTAGCAGTTGATGTAGAATTTAAGGGAAGAATTACCTGTCTTCACTCTTATCCTTTTTCCCTCACTCCCACTGTCCCCAACAGCTCTCCATGACAGGTCTTAGCATTTTAAGTATAGTCTCAGAGACATATCAGAGTTTCCACAAAGATTTGAGAGCTGCTGCACAGCAGTAAATAACAAACTCTGGAAAGCCTTGACGCAACCCCTTAAGTGCAGGTCCATTTATTCTTATCTCCCAACCACCTTGACAGGGACCAAATGACCACAGTTTGTCAAAGAAATCACACACTTCAGCTCTTATTCTTTATCTCCACTTTATGAAATCAGGATATGCTGTTTTGCGTATTAGTTCAAAAACTTTTGAAGATGACGTCCCCTCCTCTCAAGCATCTCACATTTGTTTTATTTTCAATTAAAAACAACTCCAGTTGGCTAGTGGTTTGATCAATGGCCTTCATTAATTGCACAATTACAATAGCTAGGGCACAAGGTCATACTTGTTTCAAACTTCCAAAAACATTCATGTCTACCATCTCAATAGTGTCATGTCGAGTCCCACTTTGGCTCTGAGAGTTGTTCACCAATAAATAAATAAAAAGAGTGCTTCTCTATATTTCTTTAGTAGCTTCTATTAATCATTTGATTCCCAAAGGCTAACTCACACTCTGGTTCAATTTTGAGTCAGTCCTTTGGAGAATGAATAGCCTCAAACAGGTGAGGGTAGCTGACTTCATATAAACTCATTTCAGTTTTTGAATTTCTATCTAACCTCACCATATAATTTTGCTTCACTCTCATTCTTTACTCTTATTTTCATACAGACACTGGGGCAAGACTTGGCATATAAAAAAATGCTCAAAATGTGTTGAAATGCCGTGAAATTGGATTTTCAACACTAATTTAACACTAATTTTATTTATTTTCTTAGAAATAAAGCAAGTTTTATATAAAGAAACTTTGAGGGTATATTTGTGAATATTTTTGTCATTAAGAGGGAACAAGTAATCTCAGAGGCATGTTGGAAATCAACTCAGCCTCCCACCCAATTCTATTTGTCTCTCCAGTGTTCCCTCTAGGTATTGATGCTGAAAGCATCTGCTCTTAGTCTTCCTGGTTTAAAAAAAAATGTGCATGAGACCTTGGCTAAAGCCAGACAAGTGCGGTGCCCCATTCTATGACCTAAGCAGAATCTCTGACTTTTCTTTCTCTACATTCAGTCAGTCACTAAATCCTTCACTGACCTCTCTTTTCATGTCATTGATAACTTCCTTCTTCTGCATCACCACTATTTTACACAGCATAAGACAGAAAATTTAGATCACCAGTGACATACCATATATCCCAACTCAGTGGGCTCAATACTCTTCAGAACTTATTAAGTATCTCTTTCCCATTCCTTATTCTAAGGGAGTGACTAAGCAAAACCTACATAAATTCTGATCCTATTTTCTTCAAATTAACTATGACACATCAATTTATATTTATACTATTAATTGTATTAATACTTCTATGTTGATTATATTTATATCCATAAAAATCTGTTTATATTAGATACTGCGGTTCAGTCAATATTTTCATGTACAATAATGCTAATTATATCAGCGATTGCATTCAATAAATATTGTCAAATGAATATATACTTAATGAGTATAGAAATAATGAAATTCCATCTATGAATAGTAACTAGTTATTAGTATTATGGGACAGTATGTAGCTTCTTACTGGTCACTCATTACTTGATTCATCAATGAGATAAATATATACATTACTTTGTAAGAATAAATATTTACAGGTAAATGTAGACATAGCAGGAAGGAAAGAAAAAGAAAAAAAAAAGCCTAAAAGTTCCTTTATCTTTACCTCTAATTTTACTTTATAAACATTAAAAATAAACACTTAAAATACCGAGAATATAATAAAATCATGTGTCACAATATGCTATTGCCTAAGTCTTTTTATATTTATCCATTAATCTAGCCAACCAGCCCGGCATTCTATAAGATTTTATTGGGTGCCTGGACAGTGCCTTTGCTTTGAATCTCAAAGCTATAAAAAGTACTTCATGGAAAGTATTTTATGTGAATTAAAAGATGCTGCTTCCTTTAAATATTTACTATGACTTTCTACTTCAACAACTAAAAAGTAAACATAGATTAAGTGTGGGGAAGCAGGGAACTTGGTGGGAAAGTCTGTAAGGAGGAGTCTCTGACAGGTCGGAGGCCTCTGGGAGACCTTGCGTAGTAAGGCAGCAGCCCCTGACTTGATTTTTCCAAACAAGTCTGAGCCCTTTGAATCTTTATGTTTACACTTCAAAAGATCCTTGCTTAAGGGACGAATGTTTTCTCAAAGTTACTTACCCTGATGATAGTATCTACTAGTTAATTTTAGTTCAAGCTTTGTTACAGTAAAAGCCTAAGGAGGCAGGCAAATGAAGCTACTTGGCTACACCCCAGTAGTCCTTTAGCCTCTCTTTCACAGAAACATGTGTCAGAGTAATCATTCATCCATTGTTCTGGGTCTGTTGCTAGTCCCGGCAATTAATGGATTCTTGCCATTAAGAAAAATTAAAATTTGACTAATCATGCAAAAATCACACATATAGACTTTGATCAAAAGGCCTCCTACAATCTTCCCTTAATATTTTCTGGCCCAACCAGCACACAAGTTACACTGAAGTCCACAAAGGGTGGTTTCATAGCATGTATGATATCAGATGGAAGGATCAGCCTTTCCTCATATGTGTCTCTTCAAGCCCATAGGCCAAGAAATGAAGAGAGAGATCCTTGCAGTCATAAGTCAAGTAAACAGAATATGTTTGTGACTCTGAGATTTTAAAATTCTATATGGCCCATTTCTTCAACAGACGAAAATAGCACAAGGAAAATGTCATCTTTTTTTTTTCTTTTTTAGTAAAAAATATTTGCTTTAATTTTTAAGTTGTTCTCTTTGTATTCTAGGAATGAACACTGCCTCCCCACGCCCCACGCTCTTCTCACATCTTTCTCATAAGGAGCTACTTAGCCATTAGCTGTTACTCATAGGCACTATCATCCAAACTGTCCATAAAAGGTTGAAAGTATATTCTCAGTATCATGACACTGTCCCCTCAACCTTACAACATTCATTTATGACGATGACAATACATTTTCATTTGGCGAATTAGTAGCTGGGGTTGCCAACACAAATGCAGAGAAAAGGAAGCTGTCCTTTATACAGGATGGGAAGTCTCACACATCATTCCTAAAGCAGGGTCTTCTCTGAGTCAGCTCTCAGTCGCTAGCACTCTATCACTCACACCCTGTCCAGCATGGTGTATTCATCAAGGCCGGCAGTGCAATTGTTAGCTGGCAGTTTAAATGGGGCCAACTTGTCACAAGAGTGACAGCCTGGGCAATTGTTTGCCCTCTGGGAACAGGTGCAGGCAGGTTCAAATGAAACACATCCAAATACTAAGAGCAGGATTCTTAATCATGTCAATAAAAGGGATGTGCTGGTGTCTGGGATTCAGTGGTCACAATATGCCTCTTACGCTTTTGAAGATGAAGTGATGTCTGGCTTTTCAGTAGCATGTGCCAAGGAATCTATCATGACATTATCATTTTTAATACATGCTACTTGTTTGCTGGATGAAATCTGTAATTCTGATATTCCACACACTAAAAGGCATGCTTTTAAATAACATAGGGTCAGGTAATCAAAACAAAGGGATGGCCAAGACCGGTTTGGCTCAGTGGATAGAGCGTCACATCGGTCTGTAGACTCAAGGGTCCCAGGTTCGATTCCGGTCAAGGGCATGTACCTTGGTTGCACATCCCCAGTAGGGGGTATTCAGGAGGCGGCTGTTCGATGTTTCTCTCTCATTGATGTTTCTAACTATCACTCTCCCTTCCTCTCTGTAAAAAATCAATAAAATATATTTAAAACAAACAAACAAAAAAACAAACAAACAAAGGGATGGAAAAATAAACAAACCTGACAGTGGTAGAAAGAAAGATTAACAAACATTTTATTTCAAAATAATGTCAAATTTTATATATATATATATATATATATATATATATATATATATATATATATACACCAAAGATACAAAGGAGCTCTAAAAGTATAGCTTAAAAACATCATTATTGAAAATTAAAACAAAATTACTGGCCAATTTAATTATTGGCTCTTAAGTTCCTCAACATTATGGACTAGATTTTATACATTCTGATAGCTTTCACTACATATCTATTTAAAATATTCTATATTCTATATCTATATAATGCAGCAAAGTTTGTACAAATTTTTCAACAAAATTCCAATAATAATCAAAAAGCATAAATGTAAATAGATTTTATGACACTAACAAAAGTACTTTAGTGTTCTTGGTGTTAAAAAAAATTAATTGAACTTGCTTAATATTTACAAAAGATCTTTTAGGAAATCATCTCTGTGAGCAATAACAAAGATAACAGCTTTCATTGGGTAATTAATTTAGATGTGATCAATTTCTATTAATTTGTGTGTTCTGAACTGGCATAATTACCTTGAGCAAAATTTAGCGCACACGCACACACACAAAAAACAAACAAAAAAAAACAAAACAAAAAAAACCCCCAACACATAAATATAAACCAAATTACTGAATGATAGAGTCTCATAAAATGAAAGAATCTCAGTGAAAGCTGATGGAGTAGAAATGTGTCAAAGGAGAAGGGGTATGAGCTGGAAATGAGCAAAAGGTCTGGGAATAGATTGGGAAGTCCATCCAGAGAGGAGAAACATGAACTTGGGTAAAATTTTAAAAACCTCCATTTCTATTTATTCTGTTTAAAAATAAAACAAAACTAACAAAGGAACAAAAATAGAGACTAGAGAACAGGATTTTAAAAAGCTCAAGATAAATGCCTCTAAAATGTTTATTCTTAAGGAAATATAATCCCTTTATTGAGGGGATTTGCTTTAATTTTGTGTAAGGGGAGATTTTCTTATTTAGAGAAATGTTATATTTGTATTTTCTAGAATTCAAGCTCTGCAGTTGGTAATGTGAGTTCTGACTGTGAGGGTTACTTAATCTCACCATTTCCAAGTTTATTTGTAAAATAGAGATAAAAAGAAAGTTCCTGCTTATTGTTTGAGGTAAATCAGATGATTCATTGAAAATATTTAGCACAATGCTTAAGCACAAAATACAATCTTAATAAACAATAACTATAGAATGCCTTTCTAAACACAGAATTCCAATTATTTACATGTAAGCAGTATTCAGTGTTAAAGCTTACATAGCATTGTCAGTTATTCCATAATTACATGTCTAAATGGCTTAAGTTTTCCAAAGATCCAAGTATTGCCTAAACTCTCTGTTAGAACATAAAAAAAAATTATCTTAGAAAAAAATCTGTCTGATCCAAGAAATCAAGCTAATTATGTAGCACAAAAATAATATCAGATGACCATATATTAAATGAATGTACTGAATCTTTATGAAAGCAACACTTGCTAATTTCCTACCATTATTGAAAAAATTAAAAAATTGAGCCCTGTATTTTGAACCAGTTATACCTATATGCAAACATAGTTTCAATCCTTTTCCAGGTTCAAGTCATTTGTATAGTTTATTTAAAATTTGATTCAGATGACTCCACTTTTCCATAGAATTCTTTAACTTTCTCTATTTCAGATATACTTACCCAATATTGAGAAAACAACTTATATTAGGCACATGTAGAAACTTAAAAAGTAAGTAGAAAGAGAATTTATGCAAAAGGCCTACTTTAAGACTTTATAAAAACACTTTCAATGTTTGACCATTAATCTTGATTGGTTCTTTAAATTGTAATAAAAATATAGTAAATTTTGTTTTCAAGTTTATTGATAGGTAACACCATTCTAAATATTTACATTATGTCTTACTCTTTACTTTGACTGTCAGAAAGTTTAGGATTAAATTTTTGGTACAAGTATACTCATAATTTCATCTGTTGTTCCTAGAAAAAATATTTTCTTTTTAACTCTAACTTCTGTCCTTTATCATCTTGTATATGTGTGCATAGAATTTTAGAATAGGCTTACTTGAATTTTTTCTTGAAGAGAGCAGAACTATAAATATTTGCTTGGGTGAATACTTGATTACTTAGTTTACCCTTATTTTATATTATCCTAATATAGTCCTTAAATTCAAACTTTTAAGATTTTATTAGAACAAATTTTGAGAGGTGAAAACAATGAGGAAAGTGAAGAGTAACTCAAAAATTCATCATAGCCAAAACCGGTTTGGCTCAGTGGATAGAGAGTCTGCCTGCCAGGTTCAATTCTGGTCAACGGCATGTACTTTGGTTGCGGGCACATCCCCAGTAAGGGGTGTGCAAGAGGCAGCTGATTTATGTTTCTCTCTCATCGATGTTTCTAACTCTCTGTCCCTCTCTCTTCCTCTCTGTAAAAAAAATCAATAAAATATATTTTTTAAAAATTCATCATATGGCCTCATTCTCTAGTCTAACATAAATGGGTTCCTTCTTTTATTGGACATAACTTCAGTGAATTAAAATCTTTAAAAAGGTTTAAAATTTAAGATAGTCTCAAATGATGAGGGTTTCTTTCTCTAATTGAAAAGATCTGTGTTTTCCCTGAGACCATTCAGAGTTATTTTAGGCTTGAAGATTGTGTGGAGGCCACTTTTGCCAAGAGAAATAATCCTTTCATGAAACTAATATGCCATTATCATATGTTCAAGGTAAATTGAGGGGGGAAAAAAAAACAAAACAAAAAAACCCCACATGAACCTAAGACAGGAATCTTCAACTTTTCCTTTAATTGAGTATAGGCTACTGTTCATTTTTCCAGAGCCACAAAATGGCCTATGTGTATGTTGTGTAAAGGGGGGATAGTTTAGGATAAAAAAATGTTTTTTCTAAGTAAACAGCAGGTAAAACACTATAAGTTTTACCTGATATCCAGCTGAAAAATCTTAGCAAACTAAGGAAAGAAAGATTAATGAGTCACTCCATAATTTGGATATCTACAGAAGACTGATTAATCGGCACCCTCAGGTTGGGGAAACATGCTCAAATATTCCCCTAAAAGAAGATTATCTCATCTATAATAATAAGAGCATAATATGCTAATTAGACTGGACAACCTTCCGGACAAAGCTGGGGCTGTGAGGGAAGACTGAGTCCCGGGTGCCAGAGGGAAGCCGGAGCTGGCAGCCAGGGGAAGGAAGGCCTGCTCTTGCATGAATTTCATGCATTGGGCCTCTAGTTAAAGAAGAAAACTGGAATGCACACTTGTTCAACAGTCCATGACATATGATAAACTAAATGACTTACCTTGCTTATCTTCTTCCAGTTCACTATCAGAGCATCCATCACTCTCATCTTTCATACTGTCATCAACATCTGGTGCCTTCTGTGACGAGGCACTCTCTTTTTCAGGGTCTAAATTATCTTTTTCATCATCTGATGGTGACTTTAACATTTCATTCATTTGATCATCAGACTGTCCTTTTTTATTAGCTTTCTCATCTTGTTTCTCCTCGTCTACTTCAAAATCTTCTTCATATTCTGAGAAAAAAAATACTCCACTATTAAAATGAAAATAGAATCCCTAATACTTAACCAAATTCACTTTTAATATATTTTATTTATTTTTACAGAGATGAAGGGAGAGGGCTAGAGAGTTAGAAACATCAATGTGACAGAAACATCGATAAGCTGCCTCCTGCACACCTCGTCTTGGGCATGTATCCACAACCAAGGTATATGCCTTTGACTGAAATTGAACCTGGGACCTTGGTCCATCCACTGAGCCCAACCAGTTAGGGCTTAACCGAATTCACTTTAATGAGAACTTTGACTGGCTTATTCTCTTTTCTTAGAGTCTTTCTTCCCTTCTATTTCACACAATTAGTGAACATGGAATACTAACAGTGAATGATCAAGATTGCAATCAGTTATATATAGAAGAGCACAAAAGAAAAGAGGCTCCAAATGACAAGTCTGAAACCTAATAAGAGTTCATTTACAAAAGGACATCATCTAAAAATAACCAAAATGGATAAGAGAACTTGATAGGAAACAATAAATTAGAAATAAATTAAAAATGAAAAGAATAGGATCATAATAATGAAAGTTAATTTGCAGATCCAGTGAGGTCATATTTCATATAAAAATGTTCAAAATATTTGGATATCAAGTTAATGAATAGTGAAGTGGAAAAATGTAATTAATCAAGTCCAAAGGCCCTGAGAAATAACACTGTGAAAAGCACATTTTTTTTTTTTTGAGAACCAAATGGACCTCAAGAAAAGGCATTATGAAGAATTCTATACCTAAGTCAGGACTGCAATCATATGCATTATTCATCCCTACAATCAATTAAATAATTATATTCCAAGGGTAAAAATTCATATAGAATGGGATATTACTTTTTCCAGCCACTAATTTGCTTCATTCCCTGCAGTGCACAACAAGTCTGCAGCAGAAAAAAATTGTCACATCATATGAACTCCAGCTGTCCCTTGTGGTTAGAAATTTTCACCTTTCTTATTTAATTGTTCCCCTTTTCTTTCACTAAAAACTAACAATCTTGGAGTAACAACATGCCAAGGATAGAGAGTAAAAGGATTTCATGCAGAATCAATTAGGCAAATAAACAATTATCTTTAAGATGAAAATTACAAGGAAAGTAAGTTTCCCTATTTTGAATGTTTTAGTTATTAGGTCTTCTGATTTATTTTCCAGTGGTGGGGGCCTCTCGGGTAATTACATGAGAGTTATCCACCCTGTACAATGAAAGAAACTTAATTTAGAAATGCAAGCCCTATGTGTGTGTGTGTGTGTATATATACACACAATACCTTGTTAATGCAGAGACCGTATGAAGGAGATGTAAGAGGAAAAGTGAAATCAGAAACTTAAATAAAAGCAAAGAGAATTCATCACAAGATTATTTTCATGAAAGAGATTTAATATGAAGAACATTAAGTGAAAATTATTATCAGTAAGAATTATAAAGTAATTCAAGAAGATGAATAATTTGGTTAATATTGCACGAACTAAACTGGAAATAAAATAAAAACAAATGAATCTTGTGATTTAAATTTCCAGGCCACGTAATAGAATAATTCTTCACTTAGCCCAGTTAGCTATCAATCAATAAGCCTTAATGTGAAAGAGGAAAACACTGGAAGATAAAGCATATTACAGTAACACAACACTTACCATCAAGGAATCTCCACTTTTTGTTGAGAAAATAAGACATATTTACTGAAGAGCTACTGCACTCACAGAAGTTTGTATACATAGTCCTCAGTACTGTTTGTTTCAATATTACTGGTCTCCATTGCAATGGATTTTTATATAGGATTTGAGTAATGATATGAAATAGTACAAAATGAGTGGAATGGAATCAAAGAAGAGCAGAAAGGCATTTGGAGATTGTGGAAAACTTTGTAAAAAAAAAAAAAAAAAGAAGAAGAAGTTTAGGCTAGCCACAGAATGCACACACAGGGAGAAACACATACACATATTACTTTTCAGATATTTGCTCCTGGTCACAGGATAAGCAGGGGGCCAGAGAGCACATGAGTGAATTAGGTAATTCCACCAGCAATACTAGGTAGATTAATTCCAGCAATGGGGAAAGATGAGAGTTTTTGAGTCAGGCAGTCACCTGTCCAACTCCCAGTTCAAACACTCACTAGCTGAGTGACTTGGGCAATCTGCCTCAAAAAGCTGTGGTATTAAAAGCAATCAGTCCTGGAACATGCTTAGTACAGTGCCACAGCCAGTAGGTGCCTACTCAATATTAGGCATTTAGTAGTAATAGAGATTGTGATTGTGATTGTGATTGTGATTGTGATTGGAAATGGAGGGAGTTGGTTGTAGAACAAGAGAAATTACACACACAGTGTGTGCTCTATACTTTGATGGAAGCACCTGATTAAAACCAGCAATGTACAAATGCCCACAATTAGAACACAATTACAGTTATGAAGCAGAGCAGAAAATTGAAGGAGCATGTAGTGACCACACAAAAAGTCCCTGCCTTCTATTTTGCAGGAGCATCTGAATTTCCCCCCAAAGTATGAAATGTAAGGCTGCCTTGGTTTTATTTTACCCACCACTATCTTTGCATCTAATTATCAGCCTTCTATGAACCACATTCTCTTAGCATTACAGCTCAAAGCATGCCTCCTCTGTGTCATCCACTCCCGTGTTTTCAATATGAATGAACTGGTGGCATGCTTTCTGGATTCCTTTTCATGATTTTGTTTTCTCCCCCGTCTCATCTTCCTGCTTCCTGAGAATTTAATTAGCTTGTTGTTTACCATCCTCACTAATGAGGAAGAGAGTCAGCACGAGGTCAACATCAATCCAGCTGCAACCCTCCCTCGCTGACCTCCTCAAGCTTCTCGTGCCCTTCCCATCAGCCACTGTTCTGCAAAGAGCTGAAGCCTTGCTGCTGCTGCTTTTTTCTTTTCTTTTTCTCTCTCTCTTTTTTTTTTTTAATGGAAATGGGCAATTAAAGTCCATTAACTAGCCAACCAGAAGAAAAAATCTTGGAAAAAGCTGTATTTTAGGCATCAACTATGCTACTCACAGCACTGGCCATGTTGGTTTGAGAGAGAATAAATGAAGAAAATGAAAAGCCTCTACTGACCATGGCTTTAATAAACCTACAGGTGTTGAGATTTAAAAACAAATGGGAAAACATCCCATTTGTGAATCTGTCTGTTATTGATGTTGCTATAGATATTTCTGAATTCTCAGTCTAAGATAACAATCAAGACTAGAAGGGATCGTAGAGAGAGAGGGGGGGGGGTAACTGGGTCAAAGTGTTAGAAGGAAAATCTTTTTGAAAGTAGTCACACGATTTCAGTAACAAACAAGCATAGAATACAGTGTCCTGCGAGCCCTGGGATTACTGCCTTGGATCACTGAAACCTTTGGGCAGCAACTAGAAGCAGTGAGGAAGACACAGAGGATGTACCTTTTCCTGATGCAGCCTCTTCACAGGCCATCCTCGGCCCAAGGCCTTAGCTCCTGCAATCCAGGCTTTGTCTTCTGTCTATAAGGGGAATTCTCAGGCAGCTCCAGTTCTTTCTTTTTCTTTCTTTCCCTTCCTTCCTTCCTTCCTTCCTTCCTTCCTTCCTTCCTTCCTTCGTCTCAATAGTTCTTTATTGTTAAAAGTATTATAATATATATGTCCCCCTTCTTCCCCCATTGACCCCCTCCAACCCACCTCTGCCCAACTCCCCAGGCCTTCAGCACCTTATTGCCTGTGTCCATGAGTTATGCATATGTGCATACAAGGTCTTTGGTTGATCTCTTCCCACCCACCCTCCCACCCTCCCCACCTTCCCTCTGAGTTCCTCACTTGTTCCATGCTTCCATGTCTCTGAGTCCACTCCATTCATCAGTTTATTTTGTTACTTACATGCCACATATGAGTGAGATCATGTGATATTTGTCTTTCTCTGGCTGACTTATTTCACTTAGCAGGATACTCTCCAGGTCACTCTATGCTGTCTCAAAGGGTAAGAGATTCTTCTTTTTTACTGCTGCATAGTATTCCACAGTGTAAATGTTCCACAGCTTTTTTATCCACTCATCTACTGATGGGTATTTGGGCTTTTTCCGTGTCTTAGCTATTGTAATGGTGCTTCTATGAATATAGGGGTGCATACATCTTTCTGATTGGTGTTTCAGGTTTCTTAGGATATAGTCCTGAAGTGGATCACTGGCTCAAATGGCAGTTCCATATTTAATTTTTTGAGGACACTCCATAATGTGATTTTAATTTGCATCTCTCTGATGACCAATAACTTTGAGAATTTTTTCACATGTCTCTTGGCCATCTGTATGTCCACTTTGGAGAAGTATCTATTTAGGTCTTTTGTTCATTTTTATTTGGATTGCTTGTCTTTTTTTTGTTAAGTTGTACAAATTCCTTAAATATTTTGGATATAAACCCTTTATCAGATGTATCATTGCCAATATGTTTTCCCTTACAGTAGGCTCCCTTTTCCTTTTGTTGATGGCTTCTTTTGCTGTGCAGAAGCTTTTTATTTTGATGTAGTCCCATTTGTTTTCTCCTTAGTTTCCTTTGCCCTAGAACTGTGGTCAGCAAACTGCGGCTCTCCAGCCACATGCGGCTCTTTGGCCCCTTGAGCGTGACCTTCCACAAAATACCACAGCTTGGGCGAGTCTATTTTGAAGAAGTGGCACTAGAAGAAGTTTAAAACATTTGGCTCTCAAAAGAAATTTCAATCATTGTACTGTTGATATTTGGCTCAGTTGACTAATAAGTTTGCTGACCACTGCCCTAGGAGATGTATCCATAAACATATTGCTATGACAGATGTCTGAGATTTTGAGGCAACTCCATTTCTGATGTATCACCCACAATCACGTAACATCAAGCATAGTTTGTACAGAATAGGTTGGACAGTGTTTGAAAGCCTGGGGTTTGGAATTAGACAAACCTGGGTGTTTAAGAGTAGCAGAGTATTCCACCCTGAAATACACAATTTTGGCGTAGGCTGAAGGCAGCTGGGAAGAAGTAGATACAATAAAGTCCTCTACCCTTCCCCCCACACACACACACACACATTTGCCTAAAAGCCAGACATACATTTGTGAAGGCGTTATCCTTCCCTTTCTAGCAGGAAGTATGGAATTTAATCACAGAAGACAACTTCTAGACCTTATCCCAGATATACACCAAAGGAGTCAACCTAACGAACATCAGTAAAACTAGACCTTATCTATCTTTAGTTCCCCGTATAATTGCCTTTCCACAATTTGCCTTCCCTGGACGCTCACAGTCCTTTTCCTTTGTCCTGTCACTTCACTAAAAATCTATTGTTTGATTTGTTAACATGTCATATAGACTCAATGTCTAACCACTCCTTTGAGTTACTCAGCTGCAAGTGCTCCCACATGTTTATGTGATGTGTATGCTAATAAATTTCTGTGTTTTCTCCTTGTTAGTCTCTTCTGTCAGTCTAACTTTTAAGGACCCAGCCAATGAACTTAAGATGGGTAAAGGAAAAAAGTTTTTCTTCTCCAAGGGTTTGAGTCCTAGTTCTGCTACTTTTTCTCACTGAATCTCAGTTTCCCAACTTGTAAAATGAAGGCAATAATAATAATGATAATATCTACCACATGAAATGATGAAGATAAAATGACACAGTGTGTAAAGTGCCTGGCTTAGTGCTCACTGCCTGGCCCTTTTAGTGTTCCCGTTACTACTATAATACTATAGTTATGTATGTGGAGAGAGAGAAGAAAAAGAAGAGGAAGAAGGAAGAGGAGGAAGAAGTGAAGAAGGAGAAGAAAAAGAGGGAAGAATGATGAAGGAGAGGAGAGAATAGGAAAGGGCAGGGAGGGAAGGAGAGGAGAAGAGAAGAAAAGAGGAAAGGAGAAGAATAAGAAAACAAAAAGGTGAGCAGTTGCCAGAATACTTTACCTCCATACAGTCATATAGATTGTGCCTACCTGATGCCATCAATAATCACCATTATCACCAAAGCAAGTACTGTGCATTCAAATACTCAACAACAACAAAAATAGCCATGGTCAGTGTTCTCAATGGTTAGAGCATCAGCCTGTGGACTGAAGGTTCACAGGTTTGATTGCCAGTCAAGGGCATGTACTTGGTTTGCAGGTTCATTCCCAGCCTGGTCAGGGTGGGTGCACAAGGCAACCAATGGATGTGTCTCTCACATCAATTTCTCTCTCTCTCTCTCTCTCTCTCTCTCTCTCTCTCTCTCTCTCTCTCTCTCTCTCTCTCTCTTCCCCCCCCCTCCTTTACCCCTTCCTCCCTTTCACTCTCTCTAAAAAATAGTCAATGGAAAAACATCCTTGGGTGAGGATTAACAAACAAAATCCCAAATACTAAAAAAAAAAAAAACTAATAGGCAAAATCCTATTTGGTTAGAATATCTCTCTCTCTCTCTCTCTCTCTCTCTCTCTCTCTCTCTCTCTCTCTCTCTGCAGAATTGAATAGACTAGAGCCTCTGCCTCGTGTATGCCACCGCCCTAAACTCCCCTTCCTCTCCTCACTCCCACAAGCCCCTGCAGCCCCTGCGGAGTTAGGCCTGCCCTTCTCTAAGGAAGGTGACATGGGGCTCCACACGAAACAGTGGAGGAAGGCGGTCAGGAAGTCCTCACGTGTCATAGGCTCATCTACCTGCCAGAACAGTGACAACATTTGATGGAGAGTTTTGCAAATTTTGATAATCACATTTTAAAGACTGAGGCAAAAGAACAACTGCAGTAACAAGAGAACCCTGTGTCACCCGTTACCTTACCGTATTTAGAAGTATTTTCCTGGTCATCTTCCCAAACATGTTCTTTTCCTTTACATTCCATTTCTTCTACAGCAGTTCTTACATCTTCAACCCCCGGTTTTTCTTCGTCGGCTGAAAGAAAGACTGCAGAAGAGGTTTTGCTCCCCTCCAACTCATTCCTTCTTGGGACCATGTATGCTCTATCCTTCCTCAGTATCCCCTCGCACTTTGGTTCCTCTCCTTTCTCAAGACTTTTTTGTTTCCTAAATTTTGGCGAAGTTGGTTTTTTGTCAAGGCCCATTGCAATAATGCACCTATGAGAAATATTAACAAAGGATGATTATTAACTTTTATACATAGCAGAGTGGAACTGCAAAGCTTTTAAATCACGTACCTCTTATTCTTATAAGAAATATTATAAGAAATATTTTAGTAAGGTATATACCAGTAGTTAACTAAAGTAAATTCTTTTCTTTTTATTAATATTAAAATCTCATAAAGAGCACAACAAATTCTTAATAACTTTACCCACAATAATAAACAAGAAAACAACTACTAAGAACTTTAGTTCCAAACTAAAATTAGTGCCTTAAAACATATTTTGGCCTTAGAGTCATACTGTATATAATCCTAGTCCTTAAATGAGAATTATGTGACAAAAGAACATCCAGGTTTGCAAGCACAGGAAAGCTGAAAAAAAAATATTCAGGGGGAAAAAAGATGCCATTTAGTCCACAATAACTTATTATTCCAACAACACAACAACAAAAGACTTACATACCAGGTTGACTCTGAATAAATATGATTGAGATTTTAAGAAACATACAGTCATGTGTTGTTGTGCCCTTTAAATAAACACCTCAGGAACCTTTATGCTTATTTTAATAGAATTGTCATTATTGCATTTAGAATGGCCTTTTGAAACCTGTACCACAGTCCTTGATGACTTTCACTAGGTATAAGCTTTGTTCTTTAAAGATGGCAATAGTTTGTAGAGGTCATAAAGTCATTCAAAGTCAAATTTGGTGAGTCAAGCAGATAATCTGCATGAATTAAGACATTAAAAGTAATTTTTAAATCAGTTACAAGTCACATGAGTAAATTCTGCCATAGTTTTTTCCCCCTATTTCTCAAGTTAATGTCAAAATAAAAATTCTAGTAATGATAACAAATACATTAATAAAATTTATGGTTATCATAATAAGATTACAGAGCCCTCACTCTGTGTTAAGCTCTTTGCTGTGTACCCTAGATATGCATTATTTTACCAGGTTTGTTATACCACAGACCAAAAAATTGAGAACTATCATCACTATTCAATGAGGAATTTGAGGCGTCAAAGGTTCCATGGCATGCCCAAGCTCACCCTGCAGGTGAGTGATGGAGCTGGATTCCTGCTCAGGACTGTTAAACCCCATGACCTCACCCTGAAGTACAAAACTATTGCTAGGTTACAGGCATAGTCCTCTCAGATGACTAGCCACACAGGTAAATATTACGCTGCTATATTTACATCAGGGAAAGTATTCCCACTCCCCACCAGAAATTAACAGAATTTGGAGAAGTTTTCATCGAACTCTAAAGATAATCCATGACCTGGGAAAGGGGGCTGGCACTTATCAGTCCTTCTTTAGAAATACACACGCCCCTTTATCTACATAAAGGTTTCATGGCTATCAGGGAACTGAATCAAATAGAGTGGGTAGGTAAAAAATGATCAGAATGTAGTCAAGACTTGTCAGTCCAGGAAGACTAGAAATAAAAATAAAATTTGAAAATTGCCTCAAGGTGAATCATATCCAATGACAATTTCTTAAACTCAAAATTCACTGAATTCCAGCCATCTCCAATCTAGGAATAGCATAAAAATTAATTCACCCAACAAGCAAATATGAAAACTTAGTTATGTTACTTATCTTTTGAATATCTCTCCATAAAATAAAACTAAAAGGCTCAGTACTCAAAGTAACTATCCGGCTATAAAAAAAAAAAAAATGAGATAAGAATACACTTACCTCACCCATAGTAAGCATGATAAATAGTTGACTTCCATGATGATGTACTTAGCACATTACTTTCCTTAAAATAAAGGTGTCATGAATCTTCACAGAATATGATTACCTGCATTGCCTTCTGTTCAAGCTGTTCTTCCCTTATCCGTGGCAACACCAAATCCATTGATTTGGAGCCTCTGCTATGCTATTACTTTAAGTTTATGTTGTGACGCTGTGGATGCTTTTTTGCCTCCCTACCACATGCACAGACTTTTTATCGCCCATCTGCTTAAGGGAATTGGACAAAGTGAGTAACATCTGTGCTTTCCTCGTCACTGACTACCTAGTTGACTTCTGAGTATACTTTGAGGTGCTGATTACTAAACTCAAAGCTGTCTGCCTTCTATTTGGGTAGGCAATCCTTCTTCCTGTGTTTTGCTCTAGTAACTGAAAATAACTACCACGTCTTTTTGAACAGTTCCCATGGTTGTGGGATAAATACAACTGTTTAAGCTCCACGCATTGTAAGTATCCACTGCTGAGCTTTTCTTGCTTCCTGCGAACCATAAGCCGGTAATTCCTAATCCATTTGATATTCGAATCACCTACTGTTTTATTGTATCATAGTAAAAGTTCCAGCAACCATTACTTTAAAAATGAACTAAAATTAATTTCATTTTAAAGAAATTGGACAGCCCTTAAAATAACTAAAATTATTATTATGAATGTGACAATAAAAAAAAAGATTATTCAATATAAAAGTGAGTCAGTCTCCTTAGGGGTAGTTCTCGATTTTCACTGGAAGTCTGCAGTATCTATACTCTCTGGCTTTAGCTCTTTTCCAATTATGTCTTCAACTCACTCCAATCAAATTTGCATTCCTACCCTTCACTGTAACTTGTCCCAAGATCCAAAATAACCAACAGTTTACCAGATCATGCTCATCCTCATTCTCCATTTACTTCTTCTATCCACACATTCAGCACTGTTGGTCATGCCTTTCTTTTCAAACATTTTGTTCATTTCTAGGACATCACTCTCTCTAAATTCCTTTCTAATCCCTGGCTTTCCTTCTTAGGTCTTTTGCTCTCCCTTATTTTTGAACTGGGGTGACCTGGAGCTCATTACTCAGGTATCTTCTCTATTTGCATTCCATTCTTGAGCGATCTCATCTCATCTTATGATTTAAATGTCATTTATATGCAAACCATTCTCAAATTCATAGCTTGGACCTCTTTTTGGAACCAATAAATGTCCTAAACTTAATTTGCCTCAAACCAAAATCCCTTCATTCCACTTTCAAACGTGTCCCCATTTCCTCTGCCCCACGGTCTTCTCCATCATAGTATAGTTAACTGGACATCTTTCCAGTTGTTAAAGCCAAAACCTTTTCAATCCTCATTTACTTTGCTCTTTAATCTCATGTCCTATATTCAATCCATCTGTAAACTTTATCTTCAAAATATATTTAGGATTCAATCACTTATCTTTCTACCATTCTCCTCTAGATTGAGTAGTTTCCACCTTTCCATCAATCTTTCTAGGAGGAGCTACTGTCAAATCCTGACAGGTCGTTGCCCAAAACTTACCACAGAAGCTTTACATCATTCTCAGAATGAAAGTCAAAGCTGTTGTTTTTATCTTGGCCCCACTGTCTCTCTGGCCCCTTCAAAGAAGCCTTTCTGACCATCATATATAAAATAATCCTACCCCTGACCTTTAACCCCCCACACTTATTGCCATATGGTATATATTAATTTATTTATTGGGATGTTATTGCCCCTTCCCCATTAGAATGGGCTTCATGTGGGGGAGGGGTACTTTGATTGGTTCACTGCTGCTCTCTAAGCTTGGCCTAAGACTCAATTCTCCATGAGTACTTTCAGAAAAAAATATAAAGGTTGAAGCAAGTCTCACAATTTCAAACAAAATATTCAATTCAAACATGGACAAACAGCAATCAAAGCTGACCTTTTATGATGCATTTTCTGAGATTAAAACTAGGGGCATAAGAACGATACTTGGGCCACACTCAATAACGCAGTCACAGCTCTAAAATGCATAACCTACAATAATCGACCTTAGAAGCCAAATGCTTGCACATGCTTTGGGGCTCAGCCCAAAACCAGCTACTAAGAATGATGAGGAAAAAGAAGGAAGAAAGAAAAAAGAAAAAACCTCTCTGTTTCACTTCAGAAACAGAGCTGGATGCATGGTAAGAAAAGGATCAGTTAGAGAGGGCTACGGGAGTTAAAACGCCACCAGCTTTTATCCCCGTTTTACATCTGGAAGTCTAATTTATATCCTATGATGTCTAGTACAACACACAGTTAAACCACCTTTAACTTAGGTATTTTAGGCTCATTTACACTGATATATTTCTCAACAAGTTGTGCAGAGAAATGTGTCGGTAAAAGCGTAGGAAAATGTAACAAAACGTGCCCTCTCCCAAAGGACATTTGTTTCCGTACTTGTAGCAAGGCGATGATTTCTCCACACACACAAACCCAAAGTAGCTTCCTTTGCCTCCGAGCCTGGAACCTCTCCGATGCTTATATTCACAGCAGGAGCTCAACCTGTTCACCTGCATCCCGTTCAGGAAAAAGGTGAGACTGAAGGGGAAGCCGTGGTGCCTTTTGGAAATAAACTGAAAGGTCTCTGGAATGAAAAAGGAAAGAAATTAGTGAAAGCAACTGATTTTGGACTAACATGTTCTAAACCTTATTTTTCTATTATATAAGTGCCTTATCATGGTCTAGATCACCTTTTAACTTAGGGTCAGTCTTTTATCATGAAAAAAATACATTCTATTTCTTTACCTATTAAAAAGTACCCCATACCTAAAAAAAAAAAAAAAAAAAAAGTGCCCCATGCCTTTATAAAACTGATTTTTCACCACATCATAATACCTATCATTGTATGGCACTTACTATGCCCAGGCATTATCCTGATTTTCTTGAGTGTGCTAATTCTCACCAACCACATTGAAATATGGTAGCAACCATATTCAGGTAAAAACTGCTGTTTGAATTTTAACCCTTCTAGTCTGGCTCCTGCACCTGATTAAACACAGGATAATTACCTCAGCTTCCAGGTGGAGACCTGGAGGCTAAGGCAATTTTCCCTTGCCTGAGACTAGAACTATGGGAGATTGATTCCCACTGACTCAGTAGCTTCAGGGGTAGAAACTGTAGATAACCTTTAGAGACTAACCGCTGAGCTCTGCTTCTGTATTATCGGCTATCCCAAGATAGGGCCACATTCCAATGTCCAGCAGGATGTGACTGGGAACAACCCTGTGGGCTGTTCCCAGTCTTTAGAATTTAGAATTTAGAACAGAGGAAAATACTTGTGGTTTAGGCCTTTAAAAGGACTGCCTACACCTGCAACAGCACGGTCGTGTGGAGTCCACCTGCGTGTGGTGCTCTTGCGGCCGTCCTGGCCAGTTTTTCAATAAATCCTTGCCTGCTTTTTTTAATCAATCATCAGCCTCCAGTGGTCTTATTTTATTCATACATATGAGGCAGACTTAGTCTAGCTCGAGTCCATTTCAATTCTATCTGAATTTGAGACCCCTTTTGCTCCCCCGGAACCACTCCAAAGTCCCACCAGTAAATTGAAAAACACTGCTTGCAATTAATCAGTTTTACCAGTAATTTCCTCAAAATCTTTATAAGGCTCTTAGGAAAGGTCTCACCCTAAAGTTACTGAGCCCTACATCAGACACACCATATTCTGCAGAGTGGCTTATAATCCTGCTACTCCTGTCGCTTCTGTTTCCTACAAAAGAAGCCTCTCTTGGCCCTTCACTTCTACTAATAATAGAGTTAAGATTTTATTTTTAATTTTAATTTTTATTTTTTTGCATCTCTGCTATGTACACATTTTCTATTATTGCATTTTCTGTAATATATTAAAATATATCCACTCCAGCAGTTCTCAAACTTCCATATACATCAGAATCACCCGGAAATCACAGTTTCTGATTCAGTAGGGCTCAAGAATGTTCATGTCTATCAAGTTGCCAGGTGAGGCTTATGCTGTTGGTCCAGAGATCACTTTGAGAACCCTGCTCTAGTGGTTTGCTGCCCTACATGTTTATGAAATCCACGAGAGCTGAAATTGGTCATACTCATCTTTGTTTCCCCTAATCCCAGGACTGTGGAATAGGAGGCCCCCAATAAGTAATTAGTGAGTTCTTATTTTAACTCAATTCTTTCACAGTCACCTAGAGATACTACATATATACCACATCATGCCTGCAAAAGGAAATATGAATCAGATGCTAAATAAATCTAGTAAAGAACTGAGTTATTGAGAAAGTAATTTTGTCACTTTTGCATTAGTATTTGTGATGTGAAATTAGATAAACTAGGAAAGAGAAAGTTGAAGAGATAGTGTCTGAAGAAACCAAGCTGCAATAGATTTATTTTATTGATTTCAGAGAGGAAGAAGAGGGAGAGAGAGAGAGAGAGAGAGAGAGAGAGAGAAACATCAATGATGAGAGAGAATCACTGATTGGCTGCTTTACACCCCCCACTGGAGACTGAGCCCACAACCAGGGCATGTGCCCTTGACTGGAACTTAACCCAGGATCCTTTAGTCCGCAGGCCAATGCCCTACCCATTGAGCCTAACCAGTTAGGGGAAATTTTAAAATCCAATTGTCTTTATCGTTTTTGGACTCTTTAGTGGTGACCAAAAAGATTTCATTACAAAAACTTGAATGGGGCATTTACGTGATTCATGTGATTCATGACATCCGCAGTTCCCAGTCCGGGAGGAAGTGCTGGGCACAGGGCATCAACTTCTGGATGTGACTGCTCTGCCATTTGGTTCTTGTGTGACTGGACAGCACATCCACTTATTATTCCATTCCTCCCCCCCCCCCCCCCCAAGCACGCTGAACAAGAACTGACACCCTCTGCCTTTATTCCCTTGTTAATTATTTTATAACTAGAGGACTCTGCACACAAAAATTGTGCACTCGGCAGGAGGGGGAGGGTCCCTCAGCCTGACCTTCACCCTCTCACAATCCAGGACTCCTCAGGTAGGGTCCCAAAGCCCGGTCTGAGATCAGAGCCTATTGGGGCTTTTCTTTCCCTGGCTGTAGGAAGCTGGCCCCACTCCCACTGCTGCCACTGCTTGCCATCTGTGCAGCACTGTCCCCCCTCTCCTGCCACTGCTGGCCTCCCTCTGCAGGTGATAGGCATGGGGTGCGATGGCTTGGCTGGCCTGGGTCTCTCTCTGTGGTGCGATCACCTGCCACAGAGTCACCGAAGGTGACCTGGGCCCCCCTCTTTCTTTGCTGGGGGGCAGGGTCAGCTCTGCAAAGGGCCATCTGCCTACTTGATCACCCCTAACCTCTGGCCTGCCTACCTGATTGCCCCTAACCACTTGCCTGCATACTGATCACCCCTAACCACTGGTATGCCTACCTGATCGCCCCTATCTGCTTCCTTGGGGGTGGGGCCAGCCCAGCGAGGGGCTGTGGTGGTTCTGGTCTCTGGCTGTTCTGATGATTTTACTTATGGTGCCTGGCCTTTTATTATATAGGATTTAATATTTTACATTTTAGTGTCACTTCCCAACCCTGACTTGATGGTTTCTACCTAGAGTAGTGGAAAGAAGATTGACAATTTCAGAATCCTCATCTATGAAATAGAGAAGACAGGAGGAGTGGTGAGGGTGTGAAGTGGAGGGGGGGACCCAGTCTACCCACTTCACAGAGAAGTCTTAAAGGTTATATGCAGTGCAATATTGGAAAGCATTCTGTAATATTTACAAAATGTAATTATTCATTTAAAAATACAATTAAAAATTCATGGCCTCCTAGACCTCAGAACATGAACCGATTTGGAAACCAGGGTCTTTGCAGATATAATGAGTGAAGGATCAAGATGGGCAGCACTATTTAGGCATTAAGGAGAAACAAAAATACTGGGGAAAAACCATCAATTGTAGTCTCCTCCTTCAACAAATTATAATTTGGCAGGAGAGACAAAATGAATATATCAGACTTCTAGAGTGAGTTCACCAAATCCTCTCCTCTTAAAATGGTGTCTCTGAAAATATACCAAAGGCTTAAACCGAGCAGCAGTTATTCATGAAAACTTACTGAACTTTTGGTAAGAGGAGTGGAGATCTGCGGCATCCTTGCCTGGGGCTGCTCGCATCCCTCTCACCTGCCACTATTTCATCACTGCAGTTCTAACAGGGTAGGGCAGGCCATAAATAACCAGCAGCTTCAGTGTCAGCGGGAGCTGACTTGATTTGGAGCAGAAGGCAAAATAACCTTGGCCAGTGGCTCTTCCACTAATAAGTAGCAAGCTCGGAGGCAAGCTAACATAGAAACACCTGGGTTTTGCCAGCCTGAAACTGTAGCTCTGATTAGGGCAAGCATCAGGCCAGTGGGCTAGCTGAAAATTCAACCATGGGATATAGGTAATGAAGCAATCATAGATGCACTTGTAAGGAAGCAAAATTTGCCACCCCAAAATGTGTCTCTGTGGCATAAGGATTATTTAAGGGGGGGGAAGACTCGGAAAGAACCTTTCACATTCCTCCTAAAAGATGTTAGAGGGTCTGCTCAGTAAGAAAACTATCATCATACATAACTATAGTTGAATATGAACTAGATATAACAGACAGGGATGAAGCTAACAAGGTCCATTTTGATTAAAGTCTTCTTTCTGTCCCATTGTTTCTGCATGGCCCACAAACATTTATTTGCCCAAAATTAACCCTTTTTTTTTCATCTACCTGTTGAATTGCCTTACTTCCCTTAGTCCAGAATAACATATATACCTTATCTTGCCTAACTATCTTTGGAATCTCCTATGTTGTGCAGATTTCCTGAATGTATGTGTTAAATTTAATCCTTTTAACCTATCTTGTGTTATTTTAATTATTTGACCAGCCCAAAGAACCAAAGAAGGCAAGAGAGAAATTGTCCCCCTTCTTCACACATCCAGTAAACTTTATACACATCCTCGGCTAACTGAAAGTGGCACGGTTTGGAATAGGTGCAACCTATTCACACATCCCTAGCCAACTGGGAGTTTGCATCCATGAATAAAGGAAACATAAGATGGCTGGTGGAAAATCAGATTTGGAGCAGACCTGAAAATGGCCTGAACTTTGAATGTACTCTTTCTTTGTTATTGTTTGGAATGTCAACTTATATCTCTTTATTCTTTTTTTTTAATTCTTTATTGTTTACAGTATTACATATAGTATTATATATGTCCCTTTTTTCACCCTTTGACCTCTCCCTGACCACCCCACACATGCCCTCACCCCCCCCCCCACCTAGTGTCTGTGTCCATTAGTTATGCTCATATGCATGCATACAAGTCTTTTGGTTGATTGCTTACCCCCTCTCCCTCCCTGCCTATACTCTTGAATCCACTATAGCAGGATGGACATTGCCCTCTAAAAATTCATGACCTCTTAGACCTCAGAATGTGAGCCAATTTGGAAACTAGGGTCTTTGCAGATATAATTAGTGAAGGATCAAGATGAGATCATCCTGAATTTTGTCCTCATTCGAATGACCTATGTCCTTAAAAGAAGAGTGGCCACACACAATAACATACAGAGAAGCATGACAGGTGAAGATAGGGCAAGGAGTGGAGTAATAGAGCTACAAGCCAAAGCATACCAAGTATTACAGGAATCAACAAAAGTTAGAAGAGACAAGGAAGGACTTTCCCCTAGGGCCTAGAGCTTTTAGAGGGAACAGATACCTACTAACAACTTAGTGTTAGACTCTGGCCTCTAAAACCATGAGAGAATACATTTCTATTGTTTTAAGCCACCAATTTAGGGACATTTTTTTTTTTTTACACCAGTTCAGGAAACTAATAAACCTGCAAACATCCACTTGCACAAGGTGGAGACTTTACTGGCTCAAAGTTTTGAACATGGCCTTTGATAACTCATTGGATGATCACTAAACTATGAAGACACCAAGACTACCCTAAGAAACTAGCCTAAAAACTGAAAAATATAATTTAAAAAACTATGAGTATAGACATCACCAGTGTATACCAAGGAGAGAGAAAATGAATTTCACAGAATTGGTCCAGATAAGTTACTAAACATTCAGCAACAACAATAATCTTCAAGAGAGAAATGTCAAGATCCAGAAACCACAGTTGCTCTAATACGTAATTTAAAATGTTCTGTTTTCATCAGGAAATCCAAAGATACATAAAGAAAAAGGAAAGTATGACCCATACTCAGGGGGGGAAAGCTATCAATCCCACTCCTAGGATCTATTCAAGAGAAATGAAAACAGATGTCTATATAAAAACTTGCATATTCTTAACAGCATGATTTATAATAGTCCTAAAAGAGGAAACAATGCAAATATCCATCACCTGGGGATAGATAACTACATACTCAGTGACATAAGATCAGAGAAGCTATTGATAGATGCTACAAATGGATGACTCTCAAAAGCATTATGCTAAGTGAAAGAAGCAAGACACAAAATACTACCTATTATATAATTTCATTTATAAGAAATGTCCAGAAAAGGCAAATCTTCAAAGGTTGCCTGAGACTGGCTATGAAATTGGAAATTAACTGCCAGTGGGCACAAGGAAGCTTTTAGAACTAATGGAGATATTCTAAAGCTGGTTTGTGATAGATAATTGTTGCACAATGCTACAAAATTCCAAAGTACTAGTAAATTGTACACTTAGAATGAGTGAATGTTACAGAATGTAAATTACAACTCAATAAAGCTCTTTTTTAAACAAAAAAACCCCCTCAATATATGACAATGGAAAAGGAGGGGTAAAATAAGTCTCAGTACAATGAAATGCTTTGGTTTTAAGTATAGAATAAGAGCTGTCGCCATCAAGAGAGATGGATAACAGAGTCAACTGAGAAAGCTTCACAGCTCTATTCTGAATCTTAAAAGATGGGGAAGATTTAAATTTCAAATCCTATTTTGAATTTCAAATCTATTGTTCTATTGCAGACAAAGAAAATATCACACAAAAAGATGAGAGAATGGATTAGGGGGCAGGGGGAGTACTTGGGAATGCACAAATAGTTACAACAGAACCCAGTTTGGAAATGAGAGATAATGGGGCCAAAAGGAAGAGATTATAAGAGGGTCAGGAAACAGTTCTTTGTATCCACAGGAACCCAGGAGGCCAAGGTTTGCCTTGTTTGTTACGGTGCACGTGGCAAATCAAAAGGCCTGTGAAGAGCTGCATTATCCACAAGTTGTAGAAATGTTCGGCGGCTTCATCGGTGGACAACATAAACAATCAATGTGCAGCTCGGTGTCTAAAATCAAACCGCACGACATCATGCAGTACTATGGGAATAAAAGATGCACTTGCCACACTATTAAATAATTAATTTTATTGTTATTTCTCATCCAAAAGCAAGACAAGTTAATGAATGCCACATTTTTTAAATGAGTTTTCTGCTCCAAGCATAACATTAAATGTCTTCTTTTCCTAACAGAAATCTTCTCAAAACCTATTCACATTTCATTGACTCTTACTCAGCTTTGATTTTTAAAAAGGGCAGATTCTTTTCAGTTCAGCTAAGATTGCTGAACCAAAGTCAACTCTGAGTCACCACACTTTCCAATTTTGAATAATTACTTTCCTGGCAATCAAGAACAAGCTGAGACAAAATTATTGTGTGGATGGGATTCAATTACTTGTGTCCCCATTGCATCCTATAATTCAAGACTGTCCAATGACATAACAAAAAGACAGTCCCAGGACCAGTATGTATGCAAAGTAACACGTAGCAAGGGAACATTCTCTCGTAACCTTTGACCTGGCATGTTAATCATAGAGTGTATATCGTCTCCCAGAAATCCATTCAGCTGAGTCTTACTGTGGTTTTGTTGCTTTTGTATTTGTATGTACCATGCTTTCCAGCAGTAAAACAGACATTATATATGTATTTTGTTTTTACAATAGTGATCTAAGACCCAGGAAGAGTTTCATTATGTTAATTCCAATTTTAGACCACAGCTAATTCCAGCAATTCTTCTAAATTAATAGTTGAAAGTTACACTTTTAAAAAATGAATGCATGTATCTATGCCAACTATCATTATACCCATCGTATGCGAATGTAGGAAGCTCTTTGCTACTGAGAATAGCTAACTGGAGCTAGATAGTACTAATCAAAGGCCCTGCACCTGGTCAGAAGTTGCATCTGCTCTTGACCCTGCCCACAGCTGATGTGTGACCTTGAGAAACCTCTCCCTCTGGCCTCTGCTCATTGTCCTCATCTACAGAATGGAAGGAACACTCACGAACACTCACATGCTACAAAAATAAGGCAAAAGTAAATTCTATCTCAGTCAAGTATATAAAATGGGGGAAATATTTCCAGCATTATTAAGCATTATTTTTATAAATTATACACATTTTTATAAAGTAAAATACAAAATAAAATTACCATTCAAGTGTTTGTCCTTTCTTATGTTGGAAAGTTTTAATATTTAATCCCTAAGTATGTATAGTTTCTCTTTAAGTACTTATTTTTTTAATTAATATTACTGTTTTCTTGATGAGGGAAAATAGAAAAGCCAAAAGCAACAACTCCATGCTTGCCTCCAACTCCTCCCTGAACCCCTAAGTCTGTATCAAAATTACTCACATATAAATATTTCTCTTAATTAGTGAAAACTTAATTACCTTCTAAAAAGAGTTTCTCAAGCAAGGAAATCACCAATAGCATAACCCTGTAACAACTCTTCCTTTGAACTGCTGTCCCACAGATTAAGTAGACAAAAACCCCTTCAAGTAAAATATGTGAAACTCTATATGCAATATAAAAATTATTTTATCCCACCAAAATATGTCATTCTGGAATATCGATTATTTTAAAAGTATTTTTAAATATGTTTTTATTGACTTTAGAGAGAGTGGAACAGAGAGGGAGAGAGTGAGAGAAACATGGGTTGGATCCCTGGGGATGTACCCTGACTGGGAATCAAACTGGCCATCTTTCCATACATGGGACGGCACTCAATCAAACCACACTGGCCAGAGTGGGATATTGATTATTTTAAGTTGATTCTTTTTAATAAAGGAAGCATTCAGGAAGAACCTTGGACCTTTTCCCTCACTGCCTGAAACAATTCAGGTAGAGGGCCAGTTCCAGAGAAGGAGCTGTTGCCATAGGTCACTCTAATATAATACGAACTAGGTGTGGTCGGGAGACTCAGCAGAGCCTCAGTTCAAAGTTGATTCTGTTTCCTCTCGTCTTTGCATGGCCTAGCAAACATTTCTCACTTTGTTTACTGAACTTTTGCTTTTCCAACTCCTTGTGAATTGCCTTCCTACCCTTTGAAGTCCTAGACTCATAGTCCTTCTTCTTCGTTCAGAGAGACACATAAGCCTCAATTGCCCACTTTGACTCTGGGCCCCACATTCTTATAGAAACCCCTCCACCCTCTATGTATGTAATTGAATTTGGTTATTTTCTCCTATTAACCTAGCTCACATCAATTTAATTCTTATTCCAGCTAGAACTTAAAAGTGTAGAAGAAAATGTTTTCCTCCCCAACACTAAGAAACATGGATTTATTATCAAATGAAAGTGAAAATGTATTAAATGCATTTGGCTGAATTCTGTACCATGTGACTTAGGTGTGATGCCCCCTAAAGTTTATTGGGTTTGTGATTTTATCTCAACATACTTATAAAGAACAAATTGCCAATCTTATATTTTTCTCTTGGAGTAATGTATGATGTAGTTCACTGTGGCAAGCCAAATAATTATCTTGTAATTTGGGGACAGTTTATTTGTGCAACATTTTAATGATCATATATCTCTATCCCCCACATTAATCTGTTACTGGGTTATATCACCTCAAGTTCTTTCTTTCACAATCTGTCAGAATAATTGCTGCTCCAGTTTTAATCACAGAGCAGTAAATCCAGATTCACTTTGAGGCAGCTGTTTATAAGTCCCTGGCTATACATAATTGCATAGAGAAATTGAAGTCATTCTGATATCAACAATAGTTTACCTATGACATTAACTTCAAGTACTTAAAAAGAATTCACATTGTATGTGTACCTTTTTCAAGTAGTTTGCCTCTGTAGACACAAAGGTTTTCTCCACCACAGTGCTGTTGACAAACTTTTATTTCATCTCGGAAGTCTGGGTAATCAAAACTTAGGTGCGTAGTCTTCCCTAAGTAGATCATTGTAATGACTGCATTACTATGCAGTGGTGTTTTATTAATCCTTCTTGAATCCTAAAATAAATAAAAAAGGGGGTATTAACTACTTAATCTCTAACAGAGTGCGATGACATTGTAATATAAAGAATAGAAAAGTCTATTTTTAGGTACCCAGCAACAAAACCTTTATAAAATGTCAATCTTCACAGGGCTCAAAAAGTGAAGCCCATTACATCTCTCTAACAGTTATAACATATACATTTTGGCTTTGTATTTTTAATTAAATGTTAAGACTTATGCAAAATTTGTCACCTTTATGTTAGGTGAACACGTGTGTGTGTTTTACATATAACCATAATTTCAAGGATGATAATGGGAAACTGCTCTTTGCTCTTTGAGCTGGTTCTCAAAAAAATAAACAAAAAACAACAACAAATCAAATTAATTAAATTTTGGTGACATAATTTTGTTCTATTTTGAACTGACTTAACAATTGTGATTGTGATTTATAATTGAGTGCTTAACACTCCAGCAATGACACCTGAGTTTATTCTGATGCCCACATTTTAATCCTTCTGTGGTCACTCGGAGGATTACGATAATGTATGTTATGTGCCTGGGATTATCCAGTTTCACAGGAGGCATTTAATTAAATGACAATCAACATTATTAATATTATTTTAAATATCAAATATACTCAACAACAAAAGACCACCTCATAAACATCATATCTGATATTCTCTGTCCTTGACCAGTTTAAATAATTTATAAGATAAAACAACTTAAATGCTAGAAGTTAAAAGAAATGTCCTATTCCTTAACTTCCCTAAATATTCTAAAGTATTTTTTTACAATAGTGAATGAGCATAGTGTTTGCCTAATCTGCAAGAGGAAGATGAGGAAAGACAATTAGAAAGAGGAAGAAGAGGAGGAGGCAGAGAATGGCTCACTGAAAGACTTTAAAAGGACCTAGAATATTTTGGGCTGCTGGCATCCCACAGAGACCAAACATTACTTTAAACCTACTTCATTTTTCTAAAAATCAATTCTTAGCTAAATGGAAAAAGTGACGAGACCAACTTTTAATGAATCCATGGCAATTAATTGAGTTTGATTTCATTGAATTACGGATGCCTTGGAAGCATGCTTTTAGCAAAGCTGCAACAAAAATTTCTGAAGTAACTACTAAAATAGTAGCATCCTCAAACCCACCCCCTTCTACCTTAGAGGACTTTTCTATTTCAATTCTATTTCTCTGAAGCAAAAACCAGAGGAAGTAAATCTGATAAATGGAATTCTATAAATAACAGTGTGAGAAGTATAGAGCGGGGCTTAAAATTTAAGCAACTTGTCTTGCCTGTGGACACACAGAACTTCCCAACAGAAATGTTTCAGGAACATCAAGTGCCATGAAGGTAAACGGAAATAGGTCCCCGAGCCACAGTCAAAAGCAAAGGGACGATAGCAGGGCTAGCTCCTCATTGCGAAATGATGGCACGTGTCCTCTTGCCTGGGCGTGTGGAGTGTGACATCCATGTGTGCAGCCCAACGCAAAACCACCAGCCTAAGGCAAATCCGGCTCCAAGCTCCCACTGGAACATTTCATGGCATGACGGATGAAATAAGAGCATCCCCCTTTTGTTAAGCAATACTTTCTAGAGGGACATGGCTTCGGAGGCTGCCCTGTGAGCCTCCGGTAGATGAGCACTATATATTGATAAATACAAGGTAAGAGTGGGATTGGAGTGAGGCAAAGCCTGCCTCTGTATGCAAAATGAGAACTAGAAGAACATTTAAAATAAAACAACTTAACACCTCTTCTCCCTTTTCATTTACTCTTATTCATATTCTTGTCTCTGCTAAAATGTATTCCTGATAGCAACATCTTTTTTTTTTTTTCCCCCTGGGTCTAGTTGAAATCCCCAATTATTGTCACCAAATAACCTTTCTGGGTTCTAATGAGAGGCCCAAATGACAGCTCATGATTAAATATGTGTACAAGGAAACAATTGTTTCTTTCAGTTGACTAAATTGCCTCTATACTTACTGTCTTCCAAGGTTAGAATGACCTCAGACTGATGAAATTTTGACAAGCTTTCATGGCCCTCTCTGCTATCCTCAAGCAAGAGGCAAAACCCTCCATCCCTAGCTAATTTTGCTCAGTGGTTAGAGTGTTGGACTTCAGACTGAAGGGTGGCAGGTTTGATTTCGGTCAAGGGCATGTGTCTCAGTTACAGGTTTGATTCCCAGCCCTGATCAGGGCTCATTGGGAGGCAAACAATCCATGTGCCTCTCTCACATTGATGTTTATCTCTGTATTTTTCTCCCTCTCCCTTCCACCCCTTTCTCTCCCTTTAAAATACATGAGGGAGGGGGAAGGGAAGAAATATCAGGTGAGGATTAACAACAACAACAAAAATGTCCATAAAAATTCAGCTCCACGTTAAGAAGAGCAGCAAGGTCTCATGGTCCTGGTCAGCTAAGCGTTATCTTTCTGATTTTCTGTTCAGTTGCTTATGATTTTCCTTCTCATTTCTTTTCTGAAATCTCAGGCAATTACAATCTGTGCTGGCAAACAGCAAGACCCTTGAATGGTTAAGGAGTTAGCCTTTATGTATTTGTAATATTTAGCACTTAATTGATAAACAAATCCCCACTGGGATCTCCTGGATCTCTGCCCAGGCCTGTGTGGGGTGGATATAAAAGATTTCTATATATGATGTCGAAGAGCCTGTACTTGGCAGTGTTGGGCAGCAATTCCTTTCCAGCAACTTAGCCAAGCCCTGATGAACTCTGGACATCCTAAAATCTTACCTGGACCACTGCAATAAACTTCTAGTTAGTAGGGTGACCATAAAATGTATTTATTTATTTATTTATTTATTTATTTACTTACTTACTTACTTAAAATATATTTTTATCTGTTTTATCTTCTTATTATCTTTTAATTGTCACCCAAGGATATTTTTCCATTGACTTTTAGAGAGAATGCAAGAGAGAAGGAAAGACAGAGAAACATCGATGCGAGAGAAACACATCGATCGGTTGCTTCTTGCACGCACCCTCACCAGGGATCAAGCAGGGGAGGAGCTCTTGACTGGAATCAAACCTGGGACCCTTCAGTCCACAGGCCGACATTCTATCCACTGAGCCAAACCGGCTAGGGCACTGTAGAATTTATAATCCAATCTAGGACACATGCTAGAAAAAAAATGAGCATTAATTTGAATTGTTCCAGGAAGACTCTATCTGGCTTTCAAACTCCAGGCCAATATGCCCCAACCCTAATCACCCGGGATCAGGCACCAGACAACTCAGGACAGCCCTTAGACCTCAGAGTCTGCCAAAAGTATTCATACTACCCAATCCTAAGGCTGCTTACCCTGCCATCTGGTTCCATTTCTCAGAAACATAACCAAGGCTCTTGCCTATATATTCCTCACACTCCCTCAACCTCCCAACTGACCCTGGTGCTGTCCTCTGTTGTCCTGTGTGACATGGTGTGATGGTTACCTTTGTCACTTTGGCTGGGCCATGATGCCCAGATATGTAGTCAAATGTTCTGGACAGAACCCTAACTAATCTGTGGCATGCCCCCTCCTCTTTGGGACTCAAGTGACAACTTGTCTCTTCAAAAGCAATCATTTCCTGATCTATGGATCTCAATATACCGGAATCACAATAAAACCTACATTTTAAAACAGCCAAGCAAAAAAAATATATACTTGCTCTCATTAAGGAAGAGAAGTAATGAGGGGTTTAAGCAGGAGAGAAGCATGCTGAGAGGCACTTCACAGAGTTGACATTAACATCATTATGTAGAATCTGCTAATACTGAGATGGACTTCCCTTATTTTTTCCCCTTTCTGCTTTTTTCACACGCTGCTCCCTCATTCTATTAAATATATGCTAGCTTCCTACTCATCTTTCAAAGCCCATTCCAAATGCCTTCTTTCTGAAGCACTCTCCAATCTCCTCATTCAGAATGACTATTTCCTTCCTCTGTGTTCTCATTGTGCTTTATTTATACTGCTGTGCTTGTTCTCATCACAATTTATCATGGTTAATTGCAGATATTTCTGTCTCTCTTGCTAAACTGCAATGTTTCCAAGAACAAGGATTTGATCTTATTTATGTTGGTAGCCTCGGCACCTAGTATAGGGCTTGTCATTATCAATAAAAGCTAAATTGAGCTATTTGTTGATTTAGAGCCAGGATATAAGTATGTTGATGATTGCAATAGCCTGGTTAAGAGTTAGGTAGCCAGCATCTGAACTGAAGACATAGTAGTGAGGATGAAAAAGGATTACCAGATATATGAGCCATTGCTAAGGTGTAGAGCTATGCTGTCTGAGATGCAGCCACTTGCCATATTTGGTTGCTGGGCTCTTGAAAGGTAGCTCATTCAAATGAGAAGTGCTGTAAGTATAAAAAACTTATTGAATTTAAAGCCACGGCATTTTAAAAATGTACAAATCAGTTCTTGCCAGGAGAAGTTCTTTGCCCTCTTTTTCACAAATCATATAAAATTTAAGAAAGACTTTTTTAAATTGATAAAGATGATGATTAAACAGGTCTTATCTGAAAGCCTGTATTTTCACACTTATAAACACTATTTATGTGACCATCCATCTCTTCAGTAGTCTGCTGTATAGTGTAGGTGAACCAGCAATCCTGAGTGAGAACACAAGAATCTTCAAAAGAGTGAAAGAAGCCTCAAAGGAAATCCTAACTAGTCTCATAGATTCTGTAAAAGCAAGTTCTAAAACAAAGCAACAGGACATAGAAGCAATGTGCTATGCTTTGAGATCTACAACACCTCATCGATTGGCTCCATGCATCAGCCCCTAGGGACACAGATCACAGAATCCAGGGACCATGTTCTACACATTCATAGAGGAACCAATGATGGGCCACCAGCAAGCTGTGTTTCTTTGCCTTCTACCTCCTTTATTTATTTATTTTTTTCCTTTTAAAGGATACTTTCCCTTTAAAGAGCATTTAAAGGATGCTTGGGTCCCAGCCAGAGTGGTTCAGTGATTGACTGTTGACCTATGAATCAGGAGGTCATAGTT